TATTGTTAGGTCAACTAAGAAAAATTTTCGGGTCATTCGGGTCCAGTTTTGAAAATTTCGGGTCGGGTCCAAAAGCCTTCGGATCGGGTCGGGTTCGGGTTAATATAAAAAATATTGAATCGGGTCGAGTCGGGTTCGGGTAAAAAATGTTCGGGTCGCGTCGGGTTCGGGTCGCGTCGGGTTCGGGTCATCCACGTAAGACCCGATTCGGTCTCTGGTACGTCTAAATATTTTCTTACATGAATAACTCGATTCGGTCTACAAAGTTGTCGTATTAGTATCTTCTGACCCGAAGGTTAAGATAGCTGTTCAGAGATCTAGTTTTTACAAGTCAGTGCTTGACTGGTCTAAGGGTAACAACGGATATCAGAGTAGTGAGCAGCATAAAAAATAACCTCTAGCAATTGTCTTTTAGGAAAACGTCGATCGAACATCTGGCAAGGTTCTCTCGTAACGTATTTTCTCAATACCTTATCTAGAACGACGAAGAAGTTCTCCGAAGGATCTAAAGTAGTCAGAAAGTGACCATCAAAGTGCTTCCAATATATAAAGGTACAATTAACTTTTAATTAATTACAAATAAGAAAGACTCTGATGCATCTTTCTGACAAAAGACTTTTTTACTAGATCTGAGAAAAAAGCTAGCGATTACTAACGTACAGTACTTGACAGTTGAGTTTATGAGCTAGTTCATTTTTTCGAATTTTGTATGACAAACATAGATAACTTGGAAGCGATTTACGTTTCTAGACTATAATGGTCAAATTTGACTCCAATCTGTTGTTCATTGTGTAGGTGTGTGTTTTTCAAATTATCTTTACTACGGCAAATCGTCATGATAATTTCAGTTTGTCAAGAACAAATAACAACGATTTACAAACATGTCTTTCATCGTCACTGCCATTGTCAATACGTACTATTTATCCATGTAACACTTTAACAAATCAAAATAGTTCTCGATATCAATGTGATCACTTCAATGTTAGTAGACTGTCGAGTATTCGTGGAGGGCGAATTTCTCATTTGCCTGCTGTTATTGTCTATGCAACAGATAGTAGCGATGCACAAAATGTAGCGAAATGCGCATCAAAATTAAATTACATTGTGAATCCATTAAGTGGAGGCCATAGTTATGAAGGCTATGGACCCCATGTTTCGATCAAATCTATCTTTTTCTCATAATAATCAACTCCTAAAACACGATCCAAATGCAAAGCTTCTCGGCATACGGCTATCGCAGGATCTCAAAATGTCCATTCATTTGCTTTACGCACTCCTCTAAACTGTTGATTTTCTTCTTGTTATGTTATTTTAACGTTCTACATACGACCGTCTCCTCCATTGCTCGAATTCATTTCAACTCTATATATTTGGCTAACTCTGTTTTTATTTATTTTAGTATGTATATGAGTACACAGCAGGATATCTTTTTGAGATATTTTGTACTAGCTATTTTTGCAACCTGTGCTGCTCGTGACTTTTTGTCAATAAATATTATCTTCAAATCAAAACTAGTTGAATTTATGAAAGTGCCACTCTCTCATGCATTATTAGCTGATAATTATAGTGTAATTGGTGGCATTCTGCATATTAAAGGATTATATGATAAAGCCCTGGAAATTCGTCAGATACCAATGGAAATACACCGTAATAAATCACCGGATGATTATCCGTCGATAGCACATAGTTACCAAGCATCAGCTGAAGATTCAGTCGTAGCTAACATTCTAAAATTAACTGGTGATGTTTATCTAGATCAAGGTTTTAAATAAAAAGCTATGACTAGCTATAATCAAACCTTTGAAATATGTGAGGGAACGCTAAGTAAGACTCATCCATCGGTTGATGCATGATTATTACATAACATTGTTACAGTTTATAAACGCCAAAATCGTTATAATCGAGCATTATATAACTATAATAAAACATTAGATATCTTTTGACGTTCTTATCCATTAAATCATTCTTCAATAGCTAAAGTGTAGTCATCAATCACATCTGTCCATTTCCAGTAAGTAACTCGCTCGAGAATTGTTTCACTCATGCCGCATCCTACAAATGTAGAAATAATAATGGGCATCATCTTTGCTGCTTCTATTTTTCGCAATGTGAAAAGGAAAAAAACGGAAAGAGTCAGCCAATAAAAATATCTCAACAGATTGGGTACATCTACAAAGGATATCGCATACCGTTTTCGTTTACAGAAAAGAGGGAGAAACGTCGCTGGACTAGTAGTGTTGCTGTCCTTAACGTTTTTTGATAGCAGATCGACTTCAGAATAAGACTTTCGGGATCTGAAACTTATTTTCCTTGTTATCGCTCGAAAACAACTTCAAGTATACCTGACATGATGACGATTAAAATAAATTTGTTTAAATTTTCATAGAAAAACGCCAAAATCGTATCACAATTATAGACAGAAAATGGAACTTTTGAATAGTAAAAGTCCAGCGTTATTCCGTTGAAAACCGAGGAATATATTCTATTCTAAATCTGAAAGAAAAAAGAGGAAGGACGAACAAAAGAGCAGCTCCGATAAAGGTGGATTTTTGTGCCATCTTGAATTATACAATAGATAGTTTTTACTTGGGCTAGATAATTCATCAATGTACGAGTGAATATGCAGCAAAGTTTATCACACAAAGACAGAACCAAACAAATTTCACTTATGCAGAAAAAACTGCAAAAGTAAACTTTGACGCTCTGTCATATATCATGTACAACGATTGAAGTTGTACAATACTTTAACGGTCAGTATCACTCTTAACGAGTAGTATACCCCTCATGAAAAACTGTTAAGGGTTTAGAAAGCATGCTAAATCTAGTTAAAAAACCTTTAAAGGTTTTAGATGGAGGATAAACCTTTGAGGGCTTTTTCAGAGGTTTCGTAAACAACGCTTTTTTTAGAATGTACCCGTTATGTATTTCTTAATTAACATATTTATTATGAAATTCAAAAATAACATGCTTTCATGTATAACAATATATTCCAACTCTGCCAAAGTGGTCGTTTCCATTCATTTAGTTGCGTTTATTTCATGCAACGTCAGGAGAAGATGTTGAAGCTTGCTGTTTCTGGGTTTCTTGTTGAATTAGGTGATGTTGAACATGAACAGGTAAACCTGGATTTAAGCTGAGAGTGAAGGGTAAAATCATTTTCGGTACATCAGCCAAATCTACAATCACTTTAATGAACATCGTGTTATCTCTGACGTAATTGTTCCCATCCTGCTGAATCATCGGCAAAGGGAAGAACTTCGGTATTCCACTTGCTATGTTCAATTCAGAACGGGGTCTCTGGAAACTATTTGACTTAGTATCTGGTTTGAAGCTGTCAATAACATGTCGATTTTGTCCTGACTGGTCGAACAAACAGAACGTGACTTTGTGATGGAATGGCCATTTCAGGATTGAATCATATTCACCTCTCATCAACACAAAGAAGAGAGACATATGAGTTCTTCTACCGTTACCATCTCCAAAAAGATAGAGTCTAGCTCGCATTTTATATCCACATGGGGAAGAATAGAATATTGGTGAGTAAATACTTGGATGTCTTTCTGACTGAGCATCGGCCATTTTCTCGGATACATTAATCACTTTCCAAACTAAAGTACCATCATGCGATGTGAATTCTATACTATCTAATTTCTCCTTCACACTTAATAGCTCCTGCTGTAATCTTTCTTGATCCGGTCCCACAACAGCTATATGCGAGTGTTTTTCGTCCATCAATATCTTTGCCTGCGATATTTCGCTAAAAAGTGACTGAATTACAGTATTATTGTTTAAAGATTCTGAACTTAATCGATTTGTATCCAGGCTCAATGTCTGAATGCCTTGTGTCAAGATGGTTAATGTTTCATAACATTTTCGAAGCTCGCTATACAAGGCGTTTGCTGATTTCTGAGTTTCAATGTCATTTGCTCGAGAATCCACATTCGCATGCAGTTTATAATGAATACTACCAGCTATACTAGTAGAGTTCATATCTGACGTGTTATTTGTATTTGCTTTCAGCCATGACTGAATTAAATCGTGAAACTTGAGCAAAAATGATAATAAACAATGTTGATGTGACTCGGTTAAGTAGTGACTTGTTAATTTTGATCTGACAATCTGAAGGACAAGAAAAAATGATAAGTTTATTCGATGATGAAAGTTTGCTTATAAACAATGTTTAATCGAATCGGCCAAGTATTATCTTTGATATTGAGGATGGAAGGTAGATAGATTTCTATTTGAAACTATTTGTGAACAGCTTACCTTATCTGAACAGCCATGATTCACTAATGGACATGGTTCTATGACATTCTGACATATGTATTTATGGCTATTTAATGTTGATGTTGTCGAGAATTTCTCACCACACAATTCACAAACATAATTTGAATGACATTCATCTAAATGATCCTAAATAAAATCATGTACAAAAAAATCAGCAATTCTAAATAATGGATGCCGCGTTGAACACATAGTTAGCGCATTATCGTTCAAGATTTATCATATTCTCATAAGGATAATTTAGTATATAAAACTTACCTGATATCCTTTTAGTTTCCCGACCCATTCACAGTTTGTGCATTCCACGTGTAATTGATCCATTTCCTTCTTAAAACCTTTGTCAGCCATTAGCTCAAAACAAATTATTACGTAGTTTATTGCCATTAAACTACGTCAAATAAACATGACTTACCTGTTGCATGGATGCTATTACAGAACAGTGTGGACAGTTGAACGTTGTACCATCCCTAGAAAGTACAAATTTTATTAATATATCGTTTTGAAATATGCGTAATATGCATCAGTCGCAGTACTCTTTTACACACATCGTTTCGAAACAAAACTTTTTACTAATTTATTATTCAGGTGACAGACAATACAGGTTAACAACATACTGTTGCCTTTAACAAGTGGCCAATAG